TGCCTTGACGCTGCCTTTCCTCCAGACTCACTCATTCGTACACAGTCACATTTCCCCAGGATTCCAGGGGCTATTGATCTTTTTCAGAATGAATTTGTATAACAGGAGAAAGCAAGAACAACTCCTGAGAAGCTTGTGGGCTCCCAAGAAAAGTATCCTCTGGAGCAGCCACAGCAGGCAGGTCTCTCAGGCTCCAGCCATTGTGTTCTGAAGGACAGCTCCAATTTATCCTCCAGCACAATGAAGAGGATCCTCCAGGCCCTCCCATTTCCCTTCATGGTGATAAATCTGGTCAGCAAGTTCATTTGAAGAGGTCAATTCAAAAAGCTGCTGCTAATTCCATCCCCAATTAGCAGCCTAGGAGGATCTTGGCTTTATGAATGGCTGTCAGACCAGAGTGTGAAAGCATTTATGTTCTACAGGTGCTCTGAACAGCACTCCCTCTCTCCCAGCTGCGCTGGGCAGTGTTGTTTTCCCGTGGCACTTGACTCCCTGGGATGCAAACAATACAAACAGGAGACGACTGGAGCCACCAGGCTTTAAAAAAAACCCTTCTTTTCATAGGCCTCCCCAAGACTTGTCAGCCAAATAGAGATGCCTCTTTTGCCTTCCAATTACTTCTTTTCTCTCTCTTTCCAGGGGGGCCTCTATCGGCCTTCTCACACCGCACCCTTCTTCAGGGATTCAGTCCACTAACCCAAGCTAGGCTGCACTGGGGAGTTATTTCAAAATAAATTATTTTGAATAATAACTCCCGAAATAACACTTTCGAAATAAGCGTTATTCCTCTTCGCAAGCAGGAGTTATTATTTCGAAATAACAAGCCCTTTATTTCAAAATAACGGGCTTGGTTAGTATGGATGCTCGCCTTGTTATTTCGAAATAACTCACCGGTGTAGACATGCACCCAATGTCCCAATATGTTTTGCTGGCCATCTCCAGAAACTCTTTGCCAGAACAGTAACATCTGTGAAGGATTTTTTTGGGAGATGGGGGATGGGGGGTAGTTCTTTTGGAGACATTTCTATGGGAACCATGAAGCCCAAATGTAGATACAGTTATATTAGCATGAATGGTTTTTTGGGGGGGAGATAGGGGGTTTCTTTTGAAGATATTTCTATGCCAACCAAAGAGTCCAAGTATAGAAGCAGTTGTATCAGCATGAACGCTTGGGGAGGGCATAGCTTATTTTGCTCAGGGAACTGGTATGAGCCATGCTGGCAACAGCCCCTTTGTTCTGTATGTGTGCCAGTGAAAACTGTGTCTATGCTAGGAAGATTTCCCAATACAACTGTATCATCTACACTTTAAGTGTAGGTAAGACCTTAGACTTTTGTTGGAGTAGCATCTGCTACGTGATGGACTATTCTCTTCAGTGGTAGAGTCCTCATGAAACTGGAGTGCAATTAGGGTGTCTTTTACTATCAGTTTCACTGCTCAATGGAAAATCCTACCACTCTGAGCATGAAATAAGCCAGTCTTCCTTTTCTTTGTTCCATGCAAAAAGAATAAACATTTTGTGTGATGTCATGGTGACAAACTAAACAGTAAAACCATAGTCATAATAATATCTGGTTCTTCTATAGTATTTTTCATCATAGAACTCAAAGCATTTTACAAAGTAGGTCAGCATCATCTCCATTTTACAGACTGGGAAACTGAGGCACAGGGTGGTGGAGTGACATGCCCAGGTAGTGTTACCCAGCAGACCAGTAACAGAACTGGGAATAGAATCAAGATTTCCAGAGCCCAAGATCAGTGCTCTGCCCCCACTGCTTTTCTTTATGGTTAGACACTTCACCTTAACTCTGCCCAATTACACGTTTTTAAAAGAAGGTCTCTATAGACATAATTTTCTTTTATAAATCAATAATATAACACACAAACACATTTCTTATACAGCTTTACATCAAGCCCAATTCTCTCACACCAGTTTTATTTCATCGGCGTCAGTGGATCAGTTCCTGTATACCACTGGCGTGAGATCAGTCAGGTCCACAGTCCACAAGTTTTACACATCGCATGGAGTAATATCGATTCTACCATCTAACTTGTCTCCTGACCACTGCGCAGAGCAGAAATATTGTGGCTGGACTTTGTAGGATTTCTGCCTTGGCTTTTATACTATACTCCAAACAAGGACATTAGCAAGGCACATGCAGTTGCATAGAGAGGATCCCAGCATGGAGGGCAAGGGGGAAGTGTCTGATCAATCCAGAGGGAGATGGGCTGAGGCAAGGAGCAGTGGGCACAAGATAAGATGTGTGACACTACCGCCACAATCCGCCCCAAACCCCTACTGCAAACAGATGGCTATAGGTAAGGCAGCAAGCAGGTCCTTGAATGCCACCCTGCAGCTCCTCAGGAAACCAGCTGTAGGAGAAGCTCGGACGCAGAGCCTCTCATGCCTGCTCCCATGTCCCTAGGACCCAGCTCCCAGCCCCATGTAAGCAACCAATAGACTCCTGCAGGCATGATGAGCAAGCCGCCCCCCAATGAAGGGGTGGACCAGGATTCCAGATGAGAAACAAGCACAGGAGCATCAATGCCACCACTATACAGAGACAGTGCAGGCAAAGCAAATGGTACGAAGGCGACACCTGCGTCTGGCCATGCCCCAAGGAGACAGTGCCAGTCTGTCACAAAGTGGCTCCAATAAAAAGGCTGGCAGCCACTGGATTAAACCCCGTTAGCCAATCCCCTTTTCCCTGAACTACTCCCCTCCTCCCCCAACATCCCCACCCCACAATCCTAAATCCTGTCCCTGAACAGACATCATACACTTCACAGGGCCCTTGGTTTATCCGATGCCCTTTTCATCCACATTACCCCCCGTCCCACTCGGATGAAGGGGGCTCCTGCTCTAGCTTTACTCAGCCAGGAGCAAAGCCGTCTGAGGCGAGGCCTTGGCTGAGCCACGCTCTGCCCCTGGACAGAACAATTCTCTCATTATCTTTAGGATCCCGGCAGCAACATGCATTCCGGCAAGCAAGAACAGACTCCTCTTTGTGGGGTGGCCGGCTGCTGCCAGCATAGGCCTGGCACAGTCGCTCTGTCGTGGGCAGAACCAAAAGTATCTTAGACATTCAAGATGGAAGAAGCCTCTTGGGTTCGCGAGGCCACCCCTCCTTGGGCCAGGGCTGCTCCCTACAGTACATTTCCTCATGCTTTTGTCCACTTTACTACTATTTATACTCCAACCCTCTGGTTATAAAACTGTACATTACACTAAATCACCACTTGCATTTGCAAGGCTGACAGACCATGGTTCCTAGGAGGAATTGAACTTACGATCTTAGGGGCTAAAGCAAGGATGGGGAAACTCAAGCCCAGGGGCCAGATGTGGTCTCTAGCTTGCCTGGATCTGGCCCCCAAGGCTCACCCTCCCTTGCACTGGGGAGCCTGTGCTGGCAGTCTAGCTCCCCCTACTGTCCCACCACCGAGATGGAGCACACACAATATACTAGACCAAAAAACAGGACTATGTAGCACTTTAAAGACTAACAAGATGGTTTATTAGGTGATGAGCTTTCATGGGCCAGACCCACTTCCTCAGATTAAATAGTGGAAGAAAATTGTCACAACCATATATACCAAAGGATACAATTAAAAAAAAGTGAACACGTATGAAAAGGACAAATCAAATTTCAGAACAGAAGGGGATGGGGTGGGAAGGTAAATGTCTGTGAGCTAATGATATTAGAGGTGATAATTGGGGAAGCTATCTTTGTAATGGGTAAGATAATTAATGTCTTTGTTTAAACCTATTACAAAGATAGCTTCCCCAATTATCACCTCTAATATCATTAGCTCTCAGACATTTACCTTCCCACCCCATCCCCTTCTGTTCTGAAATTTGATTTGTCCTTTTCATACATGTTCACTTTTTTAAAATCGTATCCTTTGGTATATATGGTTGTGACAATTTTCTTCCACTATTTGATCTGAGGAAGTGGGTCTGGCCCACGAAAGCTCATCACCTAATAAACCATCTTGCTAGTCTTTAAAGTGCTACATAGTCCTGTTTTTTGTTCCAGCTACACCAGACTAACATGGCTACATTTCTATCACTATTCTACACACGATATACTAGGCTGGGCACCCCTAGGTGCTGGTGTGTGAGGGGAATGTGGGGAGTGTCGTTCTCCTTCTCAGACAGAGGACGAGTCAGTGAGGTTTTTTTTTTGTGTGTGGCCCTTGACTGATTTTTCTGGGGGTCAGTGACCCCCAACCCAAAAAAGGTTCCCCACCCCTGAGCTAAAACCATGAGCCTCTGCTGCATGAGCTAAAAACCAGCTGGCCCTCAGTTAAGGCTCGCTTCACGCTCTCTTGTCAGTGGTCTCAGTGCTTCTGGGTTACACATCCATGAGACTCATCTTGTTAGGCAGCTGCAGCCTGGTGTATCTTTTTAGTCATACCCAGCCAAGTTCAAGAGGTAGCATAGTCTAGTGGACAGAGCACTGTTCTTGCACCTAGACTGGGGTTCTAGTCCTACTACAGCCAATGAATTTCTACAAATTACTTTCCACCCTCCATACCCATTGTCTACCTTGTATATTTATGTAATACATTCTTTGGAGCAGGGATTCCTCATACTCTTTGTCCCCACGGCACCTTACAAATAACTGGTAATGAGAGTGAGCAAAATTATCAAGAAGGTCCTTACTGAAGGCCTTTTCATTGCCTTGGATCGGACCTTAATCTCTGTTCATAAATCAATTCCTCTCAGCCACTCTTCTCTGGTCACTGTCCAGTTTGCCACTCTCTTTAGCAAAGTGCCCAGAACAGCATGCAGTTTTCCAGGTACAGTCATGTCTCTTCCTGCATCTCTGGGAGGGGATGCCTTTGTGCACACAGCCCCCCATCACACTGCTCCATGGACTCTCTTTGGGGACAGGGGAGAAGGGTGTAGGGCAGAGGGAAGAGGAGATGAAAGGAGGCAGCTCATTAGTTGCAGCCTGTAACAAAAGCCCTATGAAATGGAAGTAGGAAAGACTCACCGGGGTGTTTTTCGCCTCCAGCAGTGCCATCTTCCAGGCGCTGTAAACAAAACAGGACAACATGTGAGCAAAAACGTGCCTGGAGCAATTTTAAAACTGCATCACGGCAAAGACCCGCTTTGGCTCATCTGTCAACGCTGCTCTGCACTCAGCACAGTGGCTATACCCTTCCTTTCCCAAAGGGGCCAGAGCCTTTCCTGTACCCCAGAAATAAACCAGGGCCTGGGAGGAGAACCTGTGCCCCTGGGAATCTCCTTAGGTCGAGGCTGTTCTCCTTAGCTGTCAAGCTGGCTATTGGGACTGGAGGTTTCAATTTGGCACCACTTCTCCTTTAAAGTGACACTGTGCAATTTCCATGTTTATTATCCATTGGTGACTGCTGACCTAAATGGCAGCTGTTTCCAAACCAGGCCTTTTCCTCTGACAGTCTCCCAAACCTCGTTCAGACCTGGAAACTCAGCTGGGTTCTTTATGCCCCAAATGTCATCGCCTGCAATTAACATTCTGCAACGGGACCCAGGCGGACCCAAGAGAGGCAAAACAGAACAAAAAGGAGCAAAGACTGGTGTATGCCAAAGAGACCAGCAGAGAAGCAGCTGAGCTGTGGAATAAGGAGCCACTTTTACTTAGCCTCCTCTCTGACCCCATGTTCTCATTTTAAGAATAGAGTCTATTTTCAGCGGTGTATCACGTATGATGGGGCGTCTCAGTAAATATGCAGACATGCTACTATGTAGTGGAATTAGATGCAGTACTGGCCCCTAGACTGCATGTAGAAATAACTACAGGGAAGCTCAGTATTCCACCATCTGAATCTTAGGTCTCCTAAGGCAGACCTCACTGGGGTCTGCCTTGGGAGCTCGATCAATCAAATTCCTTACAGCTAGTTACATTAATTAATATAGTTAACAGCCACCTCTATTCATGATACTTCTCTGGTACTCTTTACTGTACAGGCTGAAACTCTCTAGTCCGCCACCCATGGGACCTGACCGATGCCAAAACAGAGAACCTGCTAAACCATGGGAGGTCAATATTGTCTAGCACCATTACCAACACTTCCACTGCTTACGGGGCTCATAGGAGACATTTAGGGGGTAAATTAGAGCTAACTAACATCACAGAACACAGAGAGCCAGGACTGGTGGCTGTAACCAAACTTTATGGGACTGTGGGAAACTTGGCCATACCCATGATATGTGGACATTCAGCTAATTAAAATCATGCTGGACCACCGATGATGCGAGATCAGAGACAAAGGTGCCATTTTGGGAGAGCAGGGGAGAGAAGGGGGGACAGCAGCCAGCAGTGAGAGGCATGCACAGAATCCAAGTACAGTACTTTCCCCTTGCTCCCTGATAGTTAGGGCAACAGGAAGAAAAGCAAGCTGTGTCCTGGTACGCATGGCTGTTGCTCACTTGCTCTCCCAACATGGCACTCTTAATCAGAGAGTGCCCGACTAGAGAGGTTCAACCTGTAATATTTGAGACCCTGACAACTTTTAGGCTGTGTCTACACTGGGCCACTTATTCTGGAAAATCAGCCGCTTTTCCGGAATAAGCTGCGAGCTATCTACACTGGCCCTTGAATTTCCGGAAAAGCAACGATGCTCTACTATACAAAATCAGCCGCTATTCCGGAAAAGCTACGCTGCTCCCGCTCGGGCATAAGTCCTTATTCCGGAACACTGTTCCGGAAAAGGGCCAGTGTAGACAGCCCAGTAGTCTTTTCTGGAAAAAAGCCCCGATCATGAAAATGGCGATCGGGGCTCTTTTCCGGAAAAGCGCGTCTACATTGGCCACAGACGCTTTTCCGGAAAAGGGCTTTTCAGGAAAAGCAGCCTGCCAATGTAGACGCTCCTTTTCCGGAAAAACTGAAAACGGAATAGTATTCCGTTTTAAGCAGTTCCGGAAATTCATGCCAGTGTAGACACAGCCTTACTGTATATATCCTCATCACAACCCTGGGGGTAGGGCAGTGCTTTTCTTCCTGGTGCCCAGATAGGGAACCAAAGAACAGTGACTTGTCCAGGATCACAGTCTGCAGGCAGGAGAGCAAGAAACTCCTGTGTCCCAGTTTAACCCAAAACCACCAGATAATAATCCTTCCTTCACCCAAACACAATGGAATTTGGACTTATTCAATGCTGCCTGGAAGGATCATCATGTTTACTTTCTCAAGGCTTGTGGAGGGGTAACAGCAAGATTCCTTTGATGGGTTCACAGTCGGGAAGTCCCCCGGGCTTACTGGAAGTTGTCACAGTACATGACCCCAGCTTAGCTGGGCATGTTTGTGTCCCTGTGACCTTAATGCTGTTTGACAGCCCCACTAATCTTTAATTCCCTGTTAGCTCATCCCCCTGGGGCAGCACAGTAGCCAGTGGTGCAGCTGGGCCATGTGATCACAGCTTGTCTCTCATCTGGCGTCTAGCCTCCGATTATGCTTTAACACTATGCAAATCACTTCCCTTTTCACCTGGGACAAGGAGGGGGAAAATGGACACACAACAGGCCAAACACACACCTGGAGTAAATCACTTGAGGTTAATTGAGGTGCTCACACCAATGAATTTGGCCCCAGGATGTTGTATGTAGCTCACCAGTGATGGGAGCAGCAGTCTGGTACTATGGTGAGAGGCATCATTATATAGAACCCAGCTAGCCTGATGGTAGATTTGGCCCCAGAATGAAGCCAATGATCAAGGCTAGAACGATTTGCAGTTATGTCACACTGCATTCTCTGTATCTTTTTTTTTTCCTTCTGCAGCATCTGAGGAAGTGAGGTGTAGCTCATGAAAGCTTATACCCTAATACATTCATTCGTTTTTAAAGTGCCACAGGACTTCTTGTTGTTGTTTTTTAATTATTATTGTAAAAGGTGCTGGATTGAGGCCTCTAGTCCCTAGGGTTGTCAGTTACCCAGAATTGCTCATTGCGGTACTACAAGCCTCTTTCGAAAGAGAGCGTCTAGACTACAAGCAGATTTTTCGAAAAAGAGAGCTGCTTTCTCGAAAGAGAGGCTAAACGCTCTCTTTCGAAAAGCACAGTTTGCATTCAATAGCACCTTTTTTCGAAAGAGTACTTTCGAAAAAAGGCGTTATTCCTCGTAAAATGAGGTTTTCCGCGATCGAAAATACTGCCACGTTCTTTCGCTTTACTTTCGGAAGAACGCGGCTGAAGTCTAGATGCAGGTGAAGTTTTTTCGAAAAAAGGCTACTTTTTTCGAAAAAACCCTGTAGTCTAGACACACCCTAGGATAACATGGCCCTAAGGCAGGGGTGTCCAAACTTTTTTCAAAGAGGGCCAGATTTGAAGAAGTGAACATGCGTGAGGGCCGTCCCCGCACTCTCAGCCCCAAGGCGGAGGGCCCGCAGGGTCGGAGGCGGGCGGAGAGCGCAGGGCACGCCGGCCTCACGGCGGCCCCGGGGGCAGGGCGAACCTGCAGCCGAGAGGGGAAGCGGGGCTGCGGACGTGCCCTACAGGGCAGGCTCTAGGACCGTGGAGGCCATGGGCGGCGGCGGGGCGGGCCGGAGCGGGGACGTGCCCTAAAGGGCACGCTCTAGGACCGCGGAGGCCATGGGCGGCGGCGACGCGGCCGGAAGCGGCGTGCTGGGCGCGCCAGTTCAAAAGAGCGCCGGGGAGCCAGGAGAGGAGGAGGAAGCGGGGGCCGTATTAAATCGGAACACGGGCCGCAATTGGCCCGCGGGCCGGACTTTGGACATACCTGCCCTAAGGCAAGTGTCCTATGAAGAGAGCCATGCAGATAGTTATGACTGTGCAGCTCCGGGTGCGGGTTACGCATGGGAATTGCTGGGGACGGGACAGGCGTACAGGAGGCTGGCTGGACGCATTCTCCCCTCCCCAATTAATTCCACTTTTCCTCTAAGTCCAGCAAGATTCTGTCTAAGGCTGGAGTAGACCTGCCAACCAGTGGGGCAGGCAGGCCCCGTGGCTCCGTGACCCAGAAAAGGCGGGGCCTCAGCCAGAAGGGGAAGGACCGGGGCCAGCTCTCAGCACCACCCAAACTACCTTCCCCCCCACAACCCTCAGAGCTGCATGGAGCAACACTCCAGTGGCAATTAAAAGGGACCCAAGGCTCCGGCTATCACCATAGCTGCAAGAGCAACAGTGGTGGCCAGAAGCCCTGGGCCCCTTTGAATTGCCAGGCCCCAGGACAACTGCCCCCTTTGCCGTACCCCACTGCAACTAGGGTTGCCAGATAGACCCTGCCAAAAAAACAGACACACTTGATCGTGGGCGGGGGG